GGGGTGGGGGAGTTATTAGGTGTGAATTTGAACATGAACTTGAAATTGGGTGGTTTGGATTTGAAATTTGGTGGATTTTGAGGACAATTTGACAATTTAGATGAAATTTGGCTCTCCTTGTTATTTTGGGTAATTTTGGGTGTTTTGGTCAATTTTAGTAATTTTGGAGAATTTTGGGAAATTTTGGGGCAATTGGGTCATATAGAGGGTTTTAAATGATTTTGGTGGGAAATTGGGTATTTGGACAATTTTGGGCATTTTTGGGAATTTAGGGGCATTTCGGTCGTTTTGGTGATTTTGGGGTATTTTGATTATTTTGGTAATTTTGGGGTATGTTGAGGAATTTTAGGAAATTTTGGGTAGTTTGGGTTAACTTTAGATGAACTCTAAATTTATGGTTATTCATGTGTGTTTCTAAGTATAAGGCATTGCTTTTGTGAAATAAAGTTGCTAACATATTTTACTTTACCTAATATTCATTTAGCAATAATTTGGGCAATCAATTCTTAAAACCTTGTGTGATCCATAGGCGTCGGAAGAGCCATAGTGGGATAGATAGGGTAAATCAAACAAATCTTGGATTTATAGCCACATCAAACTTGAAGATTTGCAATCTCTTAAAAAAACATTTTAATGTAATGACTTGAATTGCTAATTTTTTGCTACAATTTTTAGTATTCCATATAAGAAGGTAGGGCTTAATGGCTTCTCATGTTGCTACTTGGTTTGGTGATCTAATCTAAATCATTTTGAAAGAGTGGTAATTTATAATTTTTTGATTATTGTGACGAGGCACAAATATCTATCCCACATTTCCTCATTAGTTTCTTTCTTTCATCTACAACTTCAAAATTTTCTTTCACATGTTCTCCTCATAAACTAAATAGCTTCATGACTTATTATTTTAACCCTTTAAATTAAAAATTAAAATATTGAAGCAAATCCTTTCATATGATTTTGAATAAGTTTTAATTACACTTTATATTTTTTTAATTATAATTTTTTTTTCTAAGATTATCATACCATCAATAAAGAAAATTATAATTAAAATTAGATCATTACAAATATATTTAGCAATCTATGATCGATATATTTAACTCTTGTAAGAAAAAGGGGTTTGAAGAAGATGAGGTTTCATAAAAATTAAGAATGCAACATATCCTCAAAAATAAATTAAAAAAAAAAAATTCAACCTTTTATCTCGGGTGAATGCATAAATTAAGAAGTTACAACATCCAAACACTAAGAGAAAAGTTAAAATTTTATTATGAGATTTCATGTATGTTAAAATTCATATCTTTCTCTTCCTTGAAACAAGACAAAACTTACAATGTGGCTAAACCAAATAAAGTAAGAACGAAAATGTTCTAATTTTAAGATTTCCCAATTTATTTTTAAGCTTTAGCACCCACTCTCTCTTGAAAAAATTAGTAAATTATAAAGGAGATACACATACTAATATGAATATTTGGTACAATAATTTCAAATCTAAAAATAAAGGACGAACCCATAAAATTTTTTATTAATGCAATGAATAGCCATGTTTATGAAATATCATTATATTAGAAAATTTTAGAAAGTACCTCCCATATATTTTTTTTCCTATGTACTCCCTACATGTCTAGGCTTGGCTTTTATTAAGGGAATTGAGTAGCTACTATACAGACAATATTGCCTAGGTTGAGTTATGATGGGCTGGGTTCTACACAAATTGGCAGCTAAAAAGAAAATCCCATCAAGGTCAAGAAGTACATAATGAACTTGTTGACAAATACAAGTCATCAAAGCCAAACAACATCTTCCTTGGCACTCAATGAAACTATTATTCAACACGAATCATTTGAAGTCGCCTATAGCTCATCAAATCAACTCACACAAGCTACCTAGCTATTCACCAACTAAATCTCATGAGAAATCACCCTTCCCATATTAAGCCCGGTTATGTAACTTTACTAAAATTACTCAAATATAGCATTCTCTGTAGAACAAAAAGTGCCTAAACTCAAATCTAGAAATATTAGATCGGAGGGTGAGCTTGAGAGATTTATTATGTTGTGCTAATTTTAGACTTTCTAGCAATCTCACAAAATTCCCTTAAAAACTCTTTCAAGTTTCTCTATGTCGCTCTCTTTCCCAATTTTTTTTCTCTATCCATTATTTTGAGTAAAATTTTGTATAATCCATGCGCAAATCAAAGTCCAACAAATTCAATCATTTTATGTAAAACTATAAATCAAAATCAAACATAAGAGAACCCAAACTAAATAGATCTGTTTCTTCCATCAGGTTCAATTTTTTGATTTAAGCTGCTTTATACGCCATTGTTTGGCCCACGCTTAATTTTGTAAGAGCCAACCCCACTTGCAATTCAGAGGTTTAGCAGTAATTCAGCCTGAGATTCCATGTAGAGACAAAGCACAAACAATTACAATACCAGAAAAGAGCCTCCCCCAAGGCTTCAACCCGACCCACTACAAGGATAGACTACTTACCAACAAAAATTAAATAAAATATCAAAATAACAATTACCTTTCGTGCCCACTTTTCCCTCCACTCTTCTTTTCTCAGTTTCTTCCACACTTAATGTTGTCAGATTAGTGAAAAGTATGAAACAGACCTACAGATACTGCGCCTGTATCCGTTCTCTATTCTCCTCCCACCACAGCTTGGCGTGTACTTCTCCAAACCTTTCGCGACTGCAAAGAGGCGAATTGAATCAGTTTATAAGAGTGTTATAACAAAAAAAATATATAATGCACATAAGACGTGTTAGGTTCCATGCATTGTGCAAGTTCTCATACGTTATCATTGATTTACACCCAGAAACATATGAAATTGTTTTACACTAATAATTTTTGCACAGAAAAAATATAAATAATTTATATCTCAAGCTAAACTAGCACATGGTGCAAGATACTTCTTCTAACTAGTAAGAAAAAACCAAGATATTACCTTAATAAAAAAAAATAAGCTTACAGAACTACCAAAACAATTTCAGCTTTAAGAAAAAAGTTTGCCATGAAAAATTTAACAGAAAATTACTTTTCATAAATATGTGAAAAAAGAGAACGTATTTACTGCAAGAGATGTAAAGAGGGCAAGCTACCTTAGCCTGTTGATTGAGAACTTAGTCTGGGTTTAAGGCCATGTACATGTGGTGTGCGGTGTATTTTCCCAAAAAAGAAAAAAAAAAAGAAAGTGATAAAGAATATATATTTGAATGTATCAATCAATTAATGCCCTTTATTCTTCCTTATAACTATTGAGATAACCATCACGTATGTTACTCAAAACCAGAAGTGAATATCAACATGTGATGCAATATTTTATCATTCTAATAAAACAATTTATCCAATGGCATACTTCTACTATTTTATCTATGGCCCTGATAAAGTGGCAACCAAGCAAAAAAATAAATTTCTTGTTATTTGCTCATCCTTAGAGCAAATAATTCCGGGAACGCATTTCACAAAGTATTTATGAAATAGATGATGATCAATAATGGTACAAAGGATTAGCCACAAAAATAAGCAGAAATTTGAGTTTAAACTGGTGAAATTATGAAAAAAAGGTTGCATTGCTAATTTGATACAGCAAATGAAAATACTGCCATTTGTTAGCACAAATCAATTGCAGACTCTTTTTCATCTTGAATATCAACAACAACAACAACAACAGCCTTTATCCCACTAAGTGGGGTGGGCTACATGAAACTTTTTTGTCAATTGTGTAGTAATTGTCTTATTGTCATTTAATTCTAATAAATTAAAAATATTTTTTACACAACATGCCCAAGTCTTTTTAAGTCTACTTCTACCTTTAAGATAATTCAAATCTAAAACATCACACATTTAAGGATGACTCCTCTAATCTTACACATCATGAATGAAAAGGAAAAAAAAAAGTAGTTAAAACCTGAATCTGACGCGACGAAGCTCTCGGGCGCCATCAGGCAGCTCTCGGATGGTAATATAAACTCCAGGTTCATCCTGCTCCACCCACTCCGTCACCTCCTGGTCACTCGCATTGCTTATGGAAACGGAGGCCGCCTCATCCCTCGACGACGTTGTCGTCCTCGAAGCATCAATCGACGATGCCTCCCCTCTCACCGCAGCCACCACCGACGCCGCCCCACTGCTGCTGCCGCATGCTCTTAGATGATGCGGCATTATGTACTCGGAAGGGTCCGGCACCGAAGGCAAGTAAACTCCGCCTCCTCTGCTGGATATCGATGGCGGACGGGAGCCAGAACGGAGGAGACGGCGGCATTATGTACTCGGAAGGGTCCGGCACCGAAGGCAAGTAAACTCCGCCTCCTCTGCTGGATATCGATGGCGGCCGGAAGCCAGAACGGAGTAGCCGGTCCCGGCCGGGTGGAGGGGTCACTGGACTCTCCCTTGTTGAACCGGTCCGAGAGTAGAATGACTCTCTTTGCTGAAAAGAAACTCGAAAATCATGAGCATTGTCCTTACATAACTCATTAAAAAACCTTCATCAATTATTACCAACAGAAATTTAAATAGAACCCAACGAGGGTTTCTTGAAAGAAGAACTTTTATTAGTAAATTTCTCGGGAATTGGGGGTAAATTATATATACCTCGCCGCCGTCGTCGGACCTCGGCGGAGTGGGGAGACCTTGTCGTCTGAATTTCTGCACGTTGTAGAGCTCCATTATCCTGTCATAGTTCTCGCCCCACCACCTCTGCGCCTGCCACTTGTTGAACATCTCCCGACTTTTTTCACACCAGGCCATAAAAATATATATATATCCCACAATTCAATCAGCAAGTGAAGTGATAATTTCTACAAAATACGGTGGGTTGTGCGTTTTTACACTTAAATTTACAAAAATATATAAGAGAAGCAAATATATAATGAATTTTCTTTATAGAAAATAGATTAAAATACTAAGTATTAAATTAACAAGTGATACAAACCTTATATAATCTTTTTATTATCATAAATAATTAAAACATAAAAATGAAAAGGCAGTAACGGTAAAATTACGTCCCTGGCTAAATTTCTAGAAATATTCAAATCAAATTTTAAATATTTATTTGCTTGTTTTAATTTTCAATTTTGAAATAAAGTCATGCTTCTAAACCCTAAACAAAATAAATTCCTGATGAAAAGGCTACATAGTTCAGTTAGAATAATGCGGACAAACTTTGAGGGATACAACAGCTACCCTACAATTTATTGTAATCTTTAAAATTTAAAAAATCAAGAACGTCATTAATCAAAGTTTGCATTCTTCTGAAAAAAAAAAAAAACTTAATCTTTAATAAGAATAGACCAAAAATAAATCAATAAAAAAAAATATTGATCATCAATAACAAACCTGAAGCGAATGCGCTTGAGATCGTTGCCTGCTCCGCCAGGGAGAGAAAGAAAGGTGATATGGACTCCTGGTTCTACCTGGGCAATCCACTCCTTGGGCTCCCCATCATCCGGCAGTGCAACATTATTTTCTCCGGCGGACACCGGCATGCCGGAGCCGCCTGGAAGAATCCACTTTGCTCTTTCTCTGCCATCAGACGTCCCAGCTGGCTCCGAAGGCCTCACGCTCGTGAAGTCCCACGCCGGCGTGGAGTTCGAGCTCGCGGCACCGAGGTAGGTGTAGTGGCCGTCGGCATAGTCATCATCTATAACAGGATAACGATGGTGGTGATGAGATTTGGGACGGAAGGAGGCGCCGCTACCCCCCTTGCATTGACGGTAGACGCCGGAGAACTTCAGCACCATGTCTTTTAGCTGCAGGTTGTTTATAATCCAATGCTTAAGCTATCTAGATAAGAATTTGAATTTGAACGCAAAAACTGAAAAGAAATAGTTTAGTAGTAAAGTCAAAGGTCGATTAGTATCGAATATGAAAAGTTTACCCCAAACATATAATCAAATTAAAAATAACTCCAAGGAATAGAGACCTATTTGTATTTTGAATATTAAATCCGAATTATTGATTTCCTACCCTACAAATATAAGTTAATCGTCACCACTGAATTTCACTGTGCAAATAAGAAATTAGGCGCACTGTTTTCTTATCATCTTTTTCCCTAAGAAAAAAAAAATACAATGGCTGACCGTCAAATTTTGGTGGAGGGCACACCGGCGGATGGGCCCCAGGAGATGATTATTCTAAGGGTCATTTTGCCAAAATGAGGCAAGCAAGCGGTCAAAACGAGGCGACTCCTGCTAGTGGTTAGCACACATCGGCATGATCACAGTTCACACCTGTTCCTTTCGCCAGCACTTCTAAAACAATTTTACTATTCTAAGAAAATAAGCGTCACTTCAAAATAAAATACATAAAAATTCAATTAATCAATTTAATATTTTCCAACAAAAGAATTTATTGAGCTTTCTAATTTGAAGCAATAAAGCTGGATCCAAAAAGCAAACAAATTAATGGACTTGAAAAGTAATCGAGTACTTCGGCTAAGAAGAGTAGTACAGGCAGTAGCGGCGAAATAGAGTGAGCTCTGTGGAAACTGGATGGCAATAAATGGTTTAGACGACAGGCAGGAGTACTTGGTGAAGACAGGTTCCCTCGTCAACGTAGTGTTTCCAAGGACATCACACACAGCAGCTAGCAACAGCGTAGGAGATATGGCTTCTAGTGTTTAACCTGTGTCCTTTTCAGTCCAGTATGACTTATTTACTAATTTTTAAAAATGCAACGGTAATATAATAATATGTCAGTCTTAGATATGAATTTGAAACAAGTAACAGCCATAAAGGAATCAAGATTAGTTTTATTGAAGTTTAAATCTATTGTTTATAGCCAACAACAAATTCAATTGTTAATAATTTTATGCATTAACAATTTTTTTATTAATAATAAACCTGGCGGTTGTATGAAAAATATTTTTAAATTTTATAACATCTTTTAAATATCAAAAAACTTTCGAGCTGTTCACCTTTGTATGTTTTCTTAATTTAATTTTGTTTATATTTTGATTTGAAATAAATATATTGAAGAAGTTAAAATTATTTTAAAATTATTTTGTGTTTTTAAAAATATGTCCATTCACTATTTAAAAAACCATCTAAGAATATGATAAAAAACATATTTTTAAGAAAAAAATGGGGAAAAAAAAACTTTTGGCATCCAATTTATGTGATTTTTAAACATGCATTTTAATTCATTGCTCTTGGCACATTCAAAAAAACCTGCTACTAGTATATTAACTATTTGGGTTTGGATTCTTTTACCCCACGCGGCTGTATGTTGATGTGACTCAATTCTATAGTAATATCAGGTTCAAGTTGAGCATTAAAATTATCATTAACCAAAACTAAAATCAACTCAAATAAAAGCTGGCGGAAGGGCAGAATATCTGACCCATAAAGTTGAATCATATTTTGGATATAACTCTCAACGTCTTTGTCCCAATACACATCTCTAAATACATAAAATTCTAAAAAATAACTGTTTGTCCTAATTTCATACACATTAAGTTGCTGTTTTCTTTAAACAATTTCGTCGTTTATCAAACCCACTTGTTCTATGTATTCGCTAAATTTCATTCAGCCCACATAGTGATTAGAGCAGAAGAAAGTGGTGAGGCTTAAAGAACAAGATGGAGTAGTAAGACTTTATTCTTTCCGTGAAGCAAAACCTTGTTTCATCCAATGGATATCTTTCACAGCGCGCTCCTTTTAAAAAAGACTATAGCCAGACTGACCCTTACGAGCTTATTCTTCTCTTTTCTTTAACGCAAAATAAAGCGGTAATATATAAAAAAAAAACAAATAAAGACACGAAAAATACATAGGGACAATCGGCAATCACATCTCCGATCCCCCAAACCCCTTTTTGGACGAGCAAGCAAAGCAAAAGGAAGAAAGCACACACACACCAACAGTTACTACAATGCTGAGCCAGCACTGCTCGAGCTCATAGATACCTGCGCCTCCCAGGGAATGACAGAAAGGCAACACCATCGTCCTCCCCTTTAACTTGACCAACTTTGTTTCAGTTGGACCAGTGGCAAACACCGTAATTACTCATTTATCTGTACAGGTGCATCCTTTTTCACGTGCAAGCTAGCGGTTAATCCAACAACATTTCACTCACAAGTTTTTGATGTGTGTGTGAATCATGGTTCCGCGGAGCGGAACTTGCGAGGAGGTATTGAAGCAAGGAGACAAGGCGTGCTTAATTAACTTGATTGAGAACAAGTAGTACTACTTACTAGGGTGGAATTCAAATTAATGGAAATCAAACATCAATGAAAAAAAAGCTTTTAAACTCGATCTGAGATTGCAAGATGGAATTCAAATTAATGGAAATGAAATAAAAGGTTAAAAAGCTTAAACTGATATGTTGACTGGCAGAGAAGTTTTTAAAAGAAGAAAAATTATAGAAGAAAAGCGAATATACTCAGCCAAAATATAACAACTCGATCATTCATAATAATTGAAGTAGAATTTCTCACTCAGAATAAGAAATTGGGAAATCTCTACCAAAGAAGAATTTTTATCTAAACCTTTTATTATTCAAATATGTTGTTTTTCAACCTAAATATGATAGTTGGTAGTACAATTAAGAGGTGATTTAAAAATGCTAAGTGGTGGTTCAGAATCACATATTCAATTATACTTAATCACAACGGTTATGGATTTATAATCAACTTTCCAACTATTGGGGTATATGCACTCCCAAAATTACGGCTAATATATATTTTAAATGCTATAATGTCAAACGTTGTATGCCATGAAAACCAAACATCAATGTTTAATGCACTTTTATGGGTTAACTGATAACTAATCAATTCTTTTTAGGATCGACTAATAAGTTTTTTTTTTGTTGCATTAGGCTTACAAATAATTTATTTAGTGAAAGATTAAAAAAAAATTTAAATTCAACTGAAAGTTGGTTGTGTTGCAGTTAATTTGATGGCAAATGAAAAAAAAAAAGTCGTTAAAAGGGTACAACTATGATCCAATGAATATTTTTAAAATATTTTTTAAACGAGTACAAATGTAAAAAAATACCTCCTTTATCAAAATTTGATATGAATAATTTTCTTTTTAAAAAGTAAAGTGTGAAAGCATAAATGCATACAGACATTTATTTCGAGTCATAAATTACAGAGGCCAAAGCATTCAATCAATTAAATTAGAGCCGGATGAAAAAGAAAAGTAGAAATAAAAAACAGTTTCTAAAACTAATGATAATAATGGTCATCTGTGACTCAAACAAAGAAAAGATTGGCTTGTCTGGAGGGCAAAAATAAGCAGGCCTATGGGCCCGGTTCAGGGGTCGGTCGTTATCGAGCCGTTGGGTTTGGTTCAGTGTTTTGAACACTCGAACGTAGCCAATTATGGTCCCACCGGCCCTGTCCCCTTGCTTTGCCCAATTCGAGCAATGTAGCTCGAGGATCGCTACCTATCTATCCATCTATCGAAGAGAAAGAAAAAACAGAGATGCAGAAGATTTGCAGAGAAGCGTGAAGAGAAAGAGGGGTCGGTCGAACCTGAGAACTCAGGCTTTTGACGGCGTCTTTGTTGCTTGGGGTCCCAGCACGCGCGGTATCCTCTCCGTCTTCCTCCAGCTCCTGCTTCGCACACGCGATGCACGCCAGCATATTCGCTTGCCGCTAAACTCACCGCTCGCGTCCACTTTCCCAGTACTATCCCTGAAGTAAATGCTGATTCATTCAGATTCATTAAGCTTGCTGTTCTAATTAATATCCTCTCAGCAAGCGCAATAACAACAAAATTCACAAATTCTCACCACGAAGAAGTTATGCAAATATTTTGTTAATTCAATTTTTGAGATCTTAATGATGATCAACTTGTTAATGCCATAAAAAATTTGATCTCTATTCACATCAACATTAAAAAAAAATTAGTAAGTTCGATATATATGTTTCAATACAACTGTGTTGAAATCCTAATTCAATTTCTTTATCAGGAAGTATGAGCGAATGATTCCATTAACGGGTAAAGGAGAAATTAAATTTGTTTTATCAAATAAGCCCACAGATGCCTTTTATCAAATTATTTTAATAAGGATTTCATTCTTTTTTAGCGCGTCACAAACATTGTTATCTCATGGATCACATCCTTACAGTTGATATCTTGTGTGGAAATCATAAGAGTAATTAATTCGAGAAAAAAAAAAAAACCATTGAAAGTTTCGAGAAAAGAATCAACTCAAAACATAGCTATGATCGAAAACGATGAAGGAAAAGCTAGGGCAAGTAAAATGAGATTCTGAAGAGAGCATACGGGCTTCCGGTGGATACAGGACAGGCTACAATCCCTGCCGAGCCCAGCAGCGAAACAGAGCACTTCGATTGCCGGCTGCCAATGTTTCTTGAGTCCAGCGGCGAGTCTGCAGCCGTCTGTTGTAGTCTGCTCGGGGAAGAGATGGCTGGGGCCTTAGAGATGGAAAGGAGAGCTGGAAATGGTCGAGCGGAGGAGTGAGGGGATTTGGCAACGGAGTTGGATGAGCAAAGGGAATGAGTTTATATAATCAGAGGGGCAAAAGTATATTTTAAAAGCGCAAGATTGGCCGATGTGATCGGCTCTTTGCAGTCGTAGTAATATCTCAAATTTGTTGAGGGCAGCACGGTCATTTGAAAAAAATACATATTTAATTAATTAACTCCAATAATAGGAATGACAATTATCTTCTAGCGGGGGAGGGGCAGGATGCTAATATTTTAAAATTGTAGGAAAATATTAAAAAGGAAAAACGAAGAGAAATTGTGAGTCACACATTTCGGTACAAGGAAATAAAAAAAAGTGATGATTCGCCCAAAGCTGGAAACGAGACAAGGGCTGGAGCTAAGCTAGCAAGGACAGAGCGGGTGGGGAAGCGGACAGGCGACAGTAGAGCCCCCACTCGATTCCATTCCAGGATTCGGGGGCTTCCATGGAATTTTAAATTTACCAAAATTTTTTATTTTAAATATTCAATTTTATTCTTGTTATGCAACATGAAAGAAATATTCAAGGATCACTAGAATTCACAAAAGGGGAGGGAGTTAATTAAATCGGTTGGAGGAGACGTTTTTGGGTGAGGGAGGAGGCTCTCGAGAAATATGGGCTTTTTGAGAGTGTGGTTGTGAGGGGGGCTTTCGTGATTTTTGTTAGTGTAAACGGTCGAACAAGTTGAAACATAGGGTTTCTTCAAGAGCTTTGCTTCCCTACCTCAAGGAAGTGATTTATCTTCTTGTTCTTTTACTTTCAAGTTATTGTGGTGTTTGTTATGTTTTTTTGGGGTTTTGCCCCATTGATTCTTCGTTCTCTCCTCTTATCTCTTCTCCCTCTAGATCCATTCTTGGATCGGCACCACCATCCTTAAGTTGGAAGAACTTAATCACAACTAGTCTTACTAGACTTACTGAATTTAATCTTTCTTATGTTGCTACAGTTGATAATAAAACTGATTTTTAAAAAAAGAAGTTGTTGAAAGATCAAAATAGTGGGATCTTCTCCCTTGTTGGGATCTTTCGCTTGTTGCGTATGCATTGGAGAAGAGTCCATTCTATGGATATCTCCTTCAGGCAATTGGCAAGATCTTGAAACTTAAAGGCTCGGTTGAGCTTCTTTCATTTACTGGGGGTTTTTTCTTATTTAAGTCTAAATTTTTTGAGAATTTACAAATCGTTCTTTATGGTGGTCATTAGTTTATTGGAGGTAAATCTTTTCATTTTAAAAGATGCGTTGATCTCACTATTGTTGAGGTGTAGTCTTTCTTCCTTAGAAGCTTAGGATCTAGCCATAGGACTTTCCCGTTGACTATTCTTGAGGTTTCTGTTGACTATCCTATAGAATTAGTATTGGAACCCTACCCCCTTAGAAATTCTAAACACTTCTTTACTCTTCTTGGAGTTCTACATGTTTGGTTTTGACCTCTAGTACTTAGTACGATGAAACCAACATGGGGGAGCTCAAGAGGAGTCCCAATAGGACTGTGCGGTTAGCCCTGGATGGTGTGGCCTTATTCAGTCATGCACACACACACTTGAATCCCTCACCTTCACTCACAACCTAAACCTTAAACCAAACTTGCTTAACCTGGTTCCCAACTCTTTTGAAAACTTATGTGGGTGGTTCCCAAAACCCTTAGCCCTTGGCTAGAACGGCTAGGACCAACACATTGAGGATCCAAAGTGAGGATTCCCTTGGTAAGGCTCAAAAGAGGGTGATTTTATGATTGGCATCGTCAATTGAACCCCAATTTCACCTCAACTCAAATTATGACCTTTTGCCCCTAAACATTTCCAAATTTACCAAAATACCCCTCAAATTCTTTTTTTTCCAAAATTATGCAAATTATCAATTTCTCTCCAAAAATCATTTCAGATCATCCCAACCCACTTAAATTGCTCAAAAACACCCCAAAATTATCAAAATTCCCAAAATACAACCAAAATTGCCAAAATTACCAAAATATCCCTCATGCCCCAAAAATCCCCAAAATTTCCAAATTTACTCTAAATGTCTTCAAAACCAATTTGAATCACTCAATATCTCCAATTGCACCTAAATCCACCAAAATGAGCCAAAATCCTCAAATTGCCCCTAAATGCCTACTGTCTCAAAATCACCCCCAATTTCCATAAAATTCATTTCAATCTCACCCAATTTCAATTCTAAACTTAATTTCAACTTGTCTAATCCCAATTTATACCAATTTGGAGTCCAATTGAACTCTTCCAAATCCTAATTTCAATCTTAAGCCAAAAATCCCCAATTTGATGCTACCCCCAAATTCCGTTAAATTAAACCACATAACTAATCTAATTCCCCCAATTTCAAATTCTAAGTTCCTCAAGACAATGTTCTAAGCCAAATTGAACCTTCACATGACCCAAATCCAAACCTAAGTCTAACCTAAATTAAAGTCCAAGACAATTGCCCCAAAATTGAACCCAACTCCAAATTTCACCAAATTGATCCATGTAACGAATTTGATTCCACTAAAATTAATTCCCAAATTCTTCATGACACTTCTTTAAACCAATTTGAACTCTCAATTGGTTTAGACCTAAGCCCAATACAAGCCCAAACCTAAATTTAAGCTTAAACCCCATTTTCACCTAAATTCAAATCTTAACCTAACCTATTGGATTAACCAAAAGCTTAATTATCTCTGCCATACATAAGCCCTCTAAGATGCAAATCAGATTACTTAACCCACCTACTTGGTTCCATGGACCAAGAGTCGCCCAAATCATGGAACCTTTTCCTAATTTTAGCTAGACCCACTTACACATGTCATCATCCATCAAAGCCCCAAGATTATCACCATTAAACCATCTCTGATCTTTCCTGCACCACTTAGCTGGCACCCCAGCCCCGGCCAACTGACCTAGTCTCCGAAAAACTCAAAACTGAGGAGCCTCCCTCATGGACCAAACCTAAATAGCACCCATCTAGTGTATCAACCTCCCATTGGTCACTTGCATTGAAATCTTCTCCACCTAAGCTGCACTTTGGCCACCCTTATGGCCTTGTCTATGAATAAGAACCCTCTCACAGCCAAATGAGGGTATAACTTAGGGGAAACTTTGCCCAATTGTCTTCAAACTCTTCTAGCATTCATATGAAGGTCACTCCCATCATTTTAGCCTCTCCCCCTAATTTTAAACTTAAAAAACATGACCTTTTGCGGGCATTTCAAAAAACTCATCAAATCCCTAAATTAAGCCACCCTTAAGCTTCACCAGAGCTTAAGAACACTTCCTAATCAAAATCTCTCTCTCCTAAGCATTCTAACACATTGCTAGACTAAGGCCACACCACCTATTGGTTGAACTCATACCTAAACCTTATACTAGAGGAAGGAGAGCATGTTTGTAGGACTCTAAGGAAGCTTCTGCAACCACCCAATTGAGGCCTCACCTCTTGGGCAAATGTATAACTCAAAATCCCTTATTCTTCGCTCGGTTTCACCAATTGTGAAGTAAACTTGTATTTCATACGCATGTGACTGTATAGATAAGTTCGCTTGGCTTAGATGAAGGTGTAGGATAAAATCCCATGTGATTTGATTGAGTATCGAGTGAGAATTTAGGTCTAGAAAATGTGTGGTTCTTGCAGACAATGACCAAGAACCGTTTGATCGCTTTTGTATTCAATGTACGATCCAGATCCTGTTGGACGATGCTAGGAGACATGAACCACGGGCCGTGTGGTAAGTCTGCATGGAAAGTGAAATGAATCGGAGGTCCCCATGAGGAATGACCTGTGGCCCTAATAATTTTCGAGAGACTTTCGTAGGTAACCATCAATCTTCTTTGTGCATAAGATCCAACTTTGGGTAGAAGCTACCAGTAAGACAACCAAAGAAGGTAGCTCATAACCCGATAAAGGTGACTAATAAGTGGACCCATTGAAGGTAACACCCAAAATTCTTAGTTTTTCATGCATATGAACTACTCATGCTTTTAAAAATATTAATTTCACAAGAAAAGAATTTGTTATATTATCGTATAATTTGTAAGTCAGACGTTCCACTAGTCAATATTATTGTTGGGCTAGAGCTACCAGCAGCCTAAAAAATTAAGAGCAATTTCTTATTAAAGGTTAACAAAAAATAACATCATCCTTACTCCCTCACAAAGTCATCGGGTCAGAAGATTTTTGGCACAATTTTAGGGGGTCCTGTGGAAGCTGTCGATCGCCTGAATCAGAATCCTGTCGAGTTTAGAAAAATATGAAATCAAACTAATATCATATATTTCATAGTTCAAATGAAAGAGCATTACACCTCAAGCCATGTATCTATCTTGAAAGATAAACACATGACTTGATAGTGATGCTCAATAAAATTAAATTAGAAATGCATGACATCCATTTCATCTGCAAAATCATTTCATGTTAACCGACAAGTTCCCCTATTCAATAAAAAAAATTAAATAAAGTATATATTAAGCCGAGTTCTTGAAAGTTTTTTATAAAGACAAGTCATTATAGTTAATTACTTTCTAGATAACCGAAGTCACTTAAGAAAACTCTCAATAAAAACTAGGGGATATTTCCTTCAAGAATTTCAAAGGATAGAACCTTTCAAAGAGATTATATAAAGAGGTGTGAAAGAGTAATGACTCAAATTTGAAACACTTTATTTTTAGCATCCAATGGAAGAAGAACTAGAGGATGACATAGATCCTGAGGAGAACCTCAGTGACTTCCCAATCTATCCTATGGTTTAGTTTAAATTTAGAGGAGTATTATTTAATTGTTTAATTTTGCCAATTTTATTAATTTGGGCTTACATTCGTGTGAGACGATCACACAAATAGCCTGAAAGATGTGAGGATTTAGGTCATGACGAACGCCAACCTCGGAGTTTTCAAACGAGTCAGGACTTATATTGTATAGAAGAGCCATACAAAGACATAAATATAAGTTGAGGATTTATATCACACTAGATGGACAACCTCAAAATCCTATGGCTTGTTATTTATTCTA